CAAGAACTTAAAGGATGTTCTACAGCAGCTTTCGTCTTCAGGCCTCAAGCTGAACCCAAAGAAGTGCAGTCTCTTCCAACGAGAGGTGAAGTTCCTGGGGCACCACGTGACGCCGGAGGGCATATCGACGGATAAGGAAAAAATTCAAGCCGTCAGAGATTGGCCGCAGCCCCGAAATCTCCATGAGCTGCGAAGCTTTCTGGGTCTCTGCACATACTACCGTCGATTTGTCCCAAATTTTGCCAACATCGCCGCCTGTCTACACCGCTTGACGCAAAAAGGCCAGAGGTTTCAGTGGGGCAACGACCAAGAAGAGGCATTCAGAGAGCTCAAAGACATGCTATGTAGAGCCCCCATTTTGGCGTACCCTATACCTGGTGGCAAGTTTGTTCTGGACACAGACGCAAGTGCGTGCGGCATCGGTGGCGTCCTTTCCCAGGAAATCGACGGACAGGAAAAAGTCATCGGGTACTACAGCCGGACATTGTCGAAACCTGAGCGGAATTACTGTGTGACGAGGAGAGAGCTGCTTGCTGTCCTTGAGAGCGTGAAACACTTCCACAAATACCTATATGGCCAGCATTTTCTGCTGAGGACCGACCACGCTGCTCTCCAATGGTTGCTGCAGTTTAAGAATCCGGAAGGTCAACTAGCCCGTTGGATTGAGAGGCTCCAGAGTTATGACTTCAGAATCGAGCACAGAAAAGGCGGAAAACACGGTAATGCTGATGCCCTGTCTCGTCGGCCATGCAAGGTAGAATGCAGGCATTGTTCAAAGGCTGAGTGTAAGGAGAATATCGTTGATATCCGGCTATTGCAGTTTGAGTCGGGTGAAGATTGGTCGACGGAACAACGAGGGGATCCCATTCTGGGCAAAATAATTTCGGCCATAGAAACGGGCAAGCGACATAGTCGCAAAGAAATTACCTCCGAAAGCCCTCTTTTAAAATCCTATTGGGCCCAGTGGGACAGTCTGCTTATAAAAGATGGTTGCCTATATCGCAAATGGGAAAGTGAGGACGGTAAATCTCACCGGAACTTGATCGTCGTCCCAGACTCCAAAATAAGAGATGTCTTGTCGGAGTTTCACGATGGGCCAAGTGGAGGACATCTTGGCATAGCAAAAACCGCTGAAAAGGTAAAGCAGAGATTCTACTGGGTCGGCTGTCAAAAATCCATTGCCGACTGGATCGCCAATTGTGAAAGGTGCATAAGAGCTAAAGGTCCAACACGGAAGAGTCGAGGCTACATGCAGCAGTATAATTCAGGAGCCCCTTTTGAAAGAATCGCAATGGATGTAGCTGGACCGTTCCCAACAAGCGACTCTGGGAACCGGTATGTCTTAGTGGTCATGGATTACTTTAGTAAATGGCCAGAGGTTTATGCTATTCCAAATCAAGAAGCCAGGACAATTGTGGATGTGTTCAGCAAAAATTGGATTTGTCGCTATGGTGTTCCATCTGAGGTTCATTCCGATCAAGGTAGGAATTTTGAATCAGCGATCTTCAAGGAAATGTGTGACTCCTACGGAATCAAGAAAACCAGAACGACGCCCCTACATCCACAATCAGATGGCATGGTGGAAAGATTCAATCGCACCCTGGAAGAACATCTACGGAAAGTGGTGGACAGTGGCCAACGAGACTGGGATGAGCATATTCCTAAGTTTTTACTGGCTTATAGATCGGGCATTCATGATTCCACATCCCGGACCCCAGCCAAAGTTCTGTTCGGAAATGAATTAAAGCTACCTGGCGATTTGATATTCGGTGCTACCCCAAACGACAATGTGAACCAAGATGAAGACAGCCAAAACTCTTTTAGTAAAGTCCACGATGCAGTTCGCCATCGAATAAAAATGGTTTGCAACCGCATGAAGGCAAGGTACGATCGAGCGGCAAATACCGATGGGTTCCAAGAGGGGCAACTGGTACTATTGTTCAACCCACAACGAAAGAAAGGACTATGCCCCAAATTGCAAACGCACTGGGAAGGACCCTACAAGATTGTCACGAAAATAAATGATGTGGTTTATCGCATCCAGAGGAGCGACAGTCCCAGGTCGAAGATGAAAGTTGTACATTTGGAGCGGCTGGCCCCCTACGGAACGGGAACTGTGCCTATTCGGGACGAACAGGCTTAAGCGGGGGGCAATGTTACGAATATAACTTTAGATTTAAGTTAATTTAGATGAATTCCGTTAATTTAAGAATTTGAATTGTAACGTAAATTTCTACTACGCAGTTTATTCGAATAACTTCACAACAACAACTACTGTATAGATTTTTCTACATCCTTCCATTTCCTCTTCCATTTTCTATTTTGTTATTGTCGTACAATTCTTGTTAAACGTCATCATTAATGATCGCTTAATTCCTCTTTCTTTGTTACCCCCTCGCCTGTATATGTTGTGTTTGTTGCATTGGTAGATTGTTCGTAATCTAGGCGTTACCAGATCGTCTAGAAACTTCTGTAGCGACAGGCAAGGGGCATATAAATAGAGGAAATGGAAAGGCAGTGAGTCAGTTGTGAATCAGATCGCGAATTGAAACCGTCGAGTAAAGTAAAGTGCAAAGTAAAGTTGTGTGAATAAAATCATTGTAATAATCGTAATCCGAAAGAACCCGCGTTTTATTTGGTACGAATTGTATCGGGAAATAAAACAACGTCTACACGGGATTAAGCGAAATCCAAGAACGTAACAATATATACCACTTTAAGAAAAAGCCATACGTTTATTAGTAAACACAAGTGCAGGTAATGTGGTATACCTCAAGTCTGTTTCATTACTCATTACTATTTGAAACATTTGTCCTTTACGAGAGTCTACCATGAATCACAAGGATGAAAAACGAAGGCTATAAGTTTTAACAACTTCTCCATACTAAAATTAAATATTTCCTTGTGTAGACATGATTATATAATAAAAATTAAATTCCACTCAACGTATCCGTTAAAAATCTTAACAGACATAAATCTCGAGCTAATTCACATTCATTAAAAACAATAAATTATATAAGATATCAATTGGAAGTGAAAATTATACTATACCACATTAATATTAAATGGTATACCACATTACCTGCACTTTTTTAATGACTTTTAATGGAATTAAATATATTTTCTCAAATACCTTAAAAATTGTTACAATAATATTATTTTCAAATTGATACATGGAAAGACAACACATGCAGCATGTTAAGTGTAAAATTTCAATTTAACCGGATAATAAATAAAAATCTGGCAATCTAAAAACAAATGGGTATTCCATATTATCATCGCCTACTATATAAAAAAGAAACAAATGTGGGATAAACCAAAATAAAAATTGTTCTGAGATCAAATAACGTTGTTGAAGTGCTCGTCGGAACATAGCAAAAGACGATTACTTGAAAATCGACTTACGTATCCCTATTCTTGGATTGCCTAAACCTCATTCGTAAACAATTCTGTTCTCATTTAGTCCACATCCCACCTCATTCGTAAACAATTCTGTTCTCGGCCATTTTGTCTTCTCTCCCCAACCGTTACAGATGGAACGTTTTTCAATTTTTTTTTCTCAGTCATCAATTTTTATCTTCGCATAATTAAAATTAATTTTAATTTAAGGGGACCCCCCATTCTCGGGGTCAAAAATTTTGTTGATATAATTCGAATCTACACTAATTAAAGAATGTCCCTACAAAATTTCAAGTGAAAATCTCAAGAACTCTTGAAGATATATCCGATTTATTGTGTCAGCATCAAGTGACGTCTGAAGGACTTCTCAAACTTTAAACACGTTTTTCTCTAAACATTTTTTTGCGAATGGCGGGCAAGATAACTCAAAAACTAATAAACCAATCAGTTCCAAATTTTGCAACGTTTCTCTGGTAGTGTATAGCTCTCGTATGAACTAGGATAAAGCCAATCGGTGAACATCTTTCTTATTTTTTTAACTTGGTTTTTGGTAAAAAATCGGCGATTTTCCAAAAATATTTTTTTCACAGGTCCAAAATTTTGTTAATTTTAGAGCGAAGTCAATAATCCTAGTTCATACGAGAGCCAGACATGTACTCTTTCTAACACCGTTGGAATTTTCGGATTCCGATGTTCCAGTGAGGAGTTATCATGCCCGCCAACAAAAAAAAGGAATTTTCTTTAATTACGAGAATGGGGGGGGGTTCCCTTTATTGAATTAAGCTTAAATACATTAAATACAAGGATTTAACTGGTCACTGGAATCACATTTTATTTTAAACCATTTAGGAGGTAATTGTCTTTCCCATATATTTTGATTTTTAGATGGTGGATGAATCTGGGTTGAAACTATCTACGGCAAAGACAACCGTATGTACGAAAAATTGTCAAATTGGCCGTACGGTCTCTGCTATAGTAGTAGTACAATGATATATCAAAAATATTAAAATAAGTGTTAATACGTTTTTTAGCAGCAATTTATTCAGAAAGTTTTAATAAATGTATTGCCGAACAAACTCTTCACAATTCAGAGGTTTTCATTTATAATTTTGTTTTTTAATTTTTGTTTTTTTTTTTTATTTACAAAATTTTTAACATTGTTTGTACTAACAGCTGTATAGATGGGAATCTTGTATTAAATCTGCCATGTTCAAATCGAAATATCCATATTTCGCTACCTTCAATTTTTCAACTAAAGTAACTTGATAAATGAACCACCTGGAAATAGTTGCAATTGTCCATTTCGTGCTGTCGTTCCACATATATGACAACTTTTCTCAAACAATTCAAGCAACAAAAAATATTAGTAATTTCATACAAACTAAACTCAAAATTCACATTGATTACCATAGTTTTGAAAATAATTAACATTGCTGTTAAGTATTAGATTTTCCAGCCAAATGTGTAGCCCTCTATAGCACAAATTTGACACTAATATTGGAAAATGCTTCTTGACAAATCGATATTGTCGATAACGATTGCTTCTGACACGACCTGTTTATAGGATTTGCGAAAATTTTGCAGATTGATTTTTCAAATAGGTTTTGTTGAAGATTACCGGTAGGAAGTCGGAAGTCAGGAAATCATGTTCGCTCTCAGCCGTAATGTCAGCAATGTAGCCAAGTAAGTTCAAATGGAGACCCAACAGAAAAATCCCATTAATTATAAAATAGGGAGTAGGGCAGGGTTTAATTAGAATATACAGGAATGTGTGATTACATAAATCTGAAACCCTCTAGAACCCGTATATATGTATGCTGTAGATGTGTTTGTGTGTGTGTTTAGTAATGCAATTTATTCTATTTTGTTCTTCGACAGAAATGCCGTACGCGGCAAGCACACCTTGCCCAAGCTGCCATACGACTATGCAGCTTTGGAACCCATTGTCTGTCGGGAAATTATGGAATTACATCACACCAAACATCACCAGACCTATGTCAACAACTTGAACGCTGCCGAAGAACAGTTGGCCGAGGCCCAGAGCAAAAATGATGTTACCAAGATCATCTCTTTGGCTCCTGCTTTGCGTTTCAACGGTGGTGGCCACATTAACCACTCAATCTTCTGGCAGAACTTGACCAGCGAAAAAACTGAACCGTCTGCTGACTTGAAGAAGGCTATTGAAGCGCAATGGAAGAGTTTGGATGCTTTCAAAAAAGAAATGACCGCACTTACCGTAGCTGTTCAAGGCTCTGGCTGGGGATGGCTGGGCTACAACAAGAAAACTCAAAAGTTGCAAATTGTAGCTATGCCAAATCAAGATCCATTGGAAGCCAGTACTGGTAAGTACTTTACAAAGCATCCAACGATTGTAGTGTATTATAATGAATGTATGTGTCTTCTTTTCTGGTTAAAGGTTTGGTTCCATTGTTCGGCATTGATGTCTGGGAACACGCCTACTATTTGCAATACAAAAACCTTCGCCCATCTTATGTTGAGGCTATCTGGGACATTGCCAACTGGAATGATATTTCCAAACGTTTCGCTGACGCCAAGTAAGAAGCAGCGCGGGCGTTGTTTTCGAATAAAACACTGTCGTTATCATCTTAAGAACAGCTATAGTATAAACGAGTAATCTTTGTAAAACATATTGTGATCTTTTCGAAGAATAAAATCTATGTTAGAAAATATATAATCGTATTGTGTTGTCATTGGACATAGCTAATGCGAAATTAAATTGTCCCAGAACATACTGGAGTTGTGAAGAATACTGATAAACGACATTTGTTCCAGAGGTTTTTTTTTTATTTTTTCATATGTTTTGTTACATGCAATTATTTCCAAGCACATAAATCGCATAGTGTATTTATTTAAACGTAAACTGATAACAAAGTATTCAGTAATATATATTTGTCAAATTTGGGTTGAATGTTTGGAGCAATGCATATGCATTATTTTCTGAAATTGAATTTTTAGATATCGCTAAGGTTTTGAACATATGTTTAAAAAATAAAAATCCAACTGTTAGTGTTAACTTTTTATGTATGATTCGTATCATGATCATCACAAATGTTGGGAAGAGGGGCACCTTTACACTGAATATAAATATGACATACTTTAAGTTCTATTTGAATATTTTTATCTGTTTTAATGGAACAAGGCTTGGCATTTTTGAACGTCGTTGCTGTTTTACACTAATTATGTTCAAATATATATGTATGTTATTCATACATCAGATCAAAACTTATAAAAGCATAAGGAGACATAAACATAAAAATTAATCTCGTAAAAATTACAGTTAATTTCGTAGCCATTTGAAATTTAGAGAAATCAAAGCCAAATGTTAACAAATCCGTTTTTAATTGGAGTTCAATGGTGCCCCCTGTGAACTTTTACGGAAATTTATAATAGTTTTTTGTGCGTAATATATATGAAAGAAAATACATTAGTTTTGTTTAAAAAGATTGTTGGAATGCAAAAAAAAAATTGTTCACTAAAAGAAAACGATCACAAGAAAAAAATTAAAAATTTACAGTGGCACTGCAAAAACATGTCCACTCATCTACATTTTGTCAACAACTGAAAAGGCTAGTCAACGTTTTTTACACTGCTAGGGAACAAGATTGCATATGAAAACCAGTAAGGAAAGTAGTAAAGTCGGGCGGGGCCGACTATATGATACCCTTCACCACTATGGGTATATTAAACAGGACTATTATCATGAAATTGTATGAAATAAAATATGTGATATTTATCTAAATGTGAAACGACCTAGATCTATCCATAAACATGTCATTCGTTTCTTACAATGGGACAAAAGTATGTAAATCGACTTCAAAAAAATATCAATAGTTAATCCATTGGGCTATGTCTGTACTTCTAGAAAACCCAACTACGTTATTCTATGCTCAATTTTGTACGTTGTGCAAAATTTGATGTCAATCTAACAAATATGAGGAGTTTGATGCACAATTTACTTATATATGGATGCTAAAATGAACCTATTTCAACGAAACTTGGTACAGGTTAGGTTATACTAATTTCAGTACGTTTTGTTCCTATCAGCCATATATTGGTTCCTTGGTGCGTCAATTACTTAAAATCAATCTATAATATAAGGGAGCTATATCTAAATCTATACCGATTTCCTCGAAACTTGGCAGACATAATTCTAGGCTCAATTCAGTACGTAATGCCAAATTTAGTGCAAATCGAAAGATATATAGAGACTTTGGTGCACCATTTACAAGAAATCAGACGAAACTATATATGGGAGCTATATCTAAACCTGGACCGATTTTCTCGAAACTTGGCAGATATCATTCTAGGCTCAATTCAGTACGTTATGTCAAATTTCGTGCGAATCGAAATATATATAGAGATTTGGTGCACAATTTACATGAAATCGGACGAAACTATATATGGGAGCTATATCTTAATCTTGACCGATTTTCACAAAACTTGGCTGAACTCACTCTAGGCTCAATTCAGTACGTTATGCCAAATTTCGTGCAAATCGAAAGATATATAGGGACTTTGGTGCACAATTTACATAAAATCGGACGAAACTATATATGGGAGCGATATCTAAATCTGGACCGATTTTCACGAAACATACCAGACATAATTTTATGCTCAATTCAGCACGTTATGCCAAATTTCGTGCAAATCGAAAGATATATAGGGACATTGGTGCACCATTTACATGAAATCGGACGGAACTATATATGGAGCTATATCTAAACCTGGACCGATTTTCACGAAACATACCAGACATAATTTTATGCTCAATTCAGTACGTTATGCCAAATTTCGTGCAAATCGAAAGATATATAGGGACATTGGTGCACCATTTACATGAAATCGGACGAAACTATATATGGGAGCTATATCTAAATCTTGACCGATTTTATCGAAACTTGGCAGACATCACTCTAGGCCCAATTCAGTACGTTATACCAAATTTCGTGCAGATCGCAAGATATATAGGGACTTTGGTACATCATTTACATTAAATCGGACGAAAATATATATGGGAGCTATATCTAAATCTGAAATTATTTTCTCGAAACTTGGCACACATCATTCTAGGCTCAATTCAGTACGTTATGCCAAATTTCGTGCAAATCGAAATATACATAGGGACTTTGGTGCACAATTTACATGAAATCGGACGGAACTATATATGGGAGCTATATCTAAATCTGGACCGATTTTCTCGAAACTTGGCAGACATCACTCTAGGCCCAATTCAGTACATTGTACCAAATTTCGTGCAAATCGAAAGATATATAGGGACTTTGGTGCACCATTTACATGAAATCGGTCGAAACTATATATATGGGAGCTATATCTATATCTGGACCGATTTTCTCGAAACTTGGCACACATCATTCTAGGCTCAATTCAGTACGTTATGCCAAATTTCGTGCAAATTGAAAGATATATTAGGACTTTGGGGCACCATTTACATGAAATCGGACGAAACTATATATGGGAGCTATATCTAAATCTGGACCGATTTTTATGAAATTTTACACACATCATTTTAGACCTAAATGATTAGGCTGTACCAAATTTCGTGCAAATCGAATGATATATAGGGACCGTTTACATTAAATCGGTTAAATATATATATGGGAGCTATATCTTCTGAACCGATTTTTCCCAATTTCAATAGGGTTCGTCCTTGGGCCGAATAAGTGACCTATGCCAAATTTCATCCAATTCGGATCATAAATGCGACCTGTACTTTGCTCACAAAAATACATGGACTGACGGACAGACAGACGGACATGCATAAATCGACTTAAAAAGTGATTCTATGCATATTCTCAAAAGGAACCATGGGTCTATCTCGTTTCCTTTTGCCTGTTACAAACATATGCACAAAGACATAATACCCTGTACCACAGTGTGGTGAAGGGTATAAAAATTGGTTGTGAGTCGGAACGGAGATTTTTTGAGCACTCTTCAAAGGTGCTCCCCTCTCCACCACGAATTAAAATTATTTTATATTTTAAAAAATCTTAGCTTCTACTACTACTTTACATTATATGGAATTAAAAGCAATATGCATTTAACTAAGTGTTCTGACCACTGAATAATTCGTGCATTATCAGAAAGATTTTTATCATATGCTAAATAAGATGTTATAATGCCATTTAATATGTCTAGTGCCAAGATACTGTTCAATACAATTTGTGTACATTTTAATGCAGCAATCGAATTGTTTCAGCATACCATAATAACACCTTTTATTAAAAAACATGTAGTAAATAATAATTTATGTTCGTTATACCAATTGAATTGATTTCCATAAGCAGATGACAACGGGTCTAAATATATTCCAACTTTTTTGTGTCTGTACATACATAAAAACACATAATAATTGAACTCCACACAACACATTTGTTCCAGTTATACAAGAATTGTATATTTTATTGTCATACATATAAAAACGTGTTATATACTAAATCAAGTCCACCATTCGAAAAAAAAGTTCAGACCATTTCCCGATATTTGACTACCTTTATGAAATGGTCGTCATAAGTTCTAATGGCTTATTACACACAAGATATAACAGCAATTTTAACAGTCAACAGGATATTCAATTTCTAGTAATTCTGGATTTTCGCATAGCACAGCTTCCCTTTTCGAAGACTCCGAAACATAACCTACTACCCAAGCCAGTTGTTCTCCATTGGTGATCTCATTAAATTCCTTACAAAATTCCTCAGATGCCGATGATGGCATGGCTATTAAAAGGCCTCCGGATGTTTCTACAGATTTGCCGGATGTTAATTTGGCATAGGTGTAGTTAAGTTTCTCCGCAAATCCCAAAATATTTTTAATAATTGGTAATTTTTCAATAACAAATTTCAATTTGTCCATTTGGAATTCAGCCAAGTTCTGGGCATGACCAAGTAAGCCAAAGCCAGTGACATCTGTGGCAGCATGAGCTTCGTATTTGTGCATAAGTAAGGCAGCATTTCGGTTAAGATATGTCATCGATTTCACAGCCATTTTGAAGGCAAAAATTATGTCCTCATCCGTGAAATGTTTTACAAGTTCGGTGTACTTTTCCGTTTTGTCACAGAGCCAAAGGTAAGCATTTGTTGCCAACTGCGTTCCCAAAGGTTTGGTCAATACCAAATGGTCACCGGATTTAGCATTACTTGGCATTATAACTTCATCTTTGCTCACCACTGCGGAGGCAATGCCGCCAAGCATGCACCAAGGATTAATAACGGAATGCTTTATTGTTGGACTACATTTGGCATTGCGAGCCGCATCACGGAAGCCCTTCATTATCAAGGGCATGATGATGTTACGCTCCTCTTCGCTTAACTCGGTCGGAGCGCTCAACACCATATCGATCTTGTCGAATTCAGTAACACCAACTGCATAAACATCGCTCACAACATTTGCCAAAGCAATTTTGCCCATTGTGTAGGGATCATTGACCAGGGGATAGAAGAAATCAACTGTTTGGATTAATCGTATGTTTGGGTGTCTTTTCAGGGGAATTACGGCACAATCCATGCCAGATCCAATGTAATCTTCGCCATGCTCTGCTCTCTCTACTGTGGGGTTGACTTTTAAAATTTCTGTTCCCAATAGATACTTGTTTAGGGTATCCTGGGGAATTTTACAACCTCACCCGCGCAAAGTTGAGAACTTGGTTAGTTGGAAGTCTGGCCGAAGGCCATGCTTTTCGGGATTAAACATTTTGCTAAAATAACTGTAAATAATAGTAAAAATAAAAAATATTGAATTCATTAAATGATTGTCGAATAAAAAATTAAGAAATATTTATTTCTAAAGTTGTGCCCTTTTCAAGAACTTAGAACTTCAAGACCTAAAAAAGTCGATAATGATATAGAACTTGTGAAGATAATGAAATGAGTGGAAACTTTTTTTAAATATATATGACAAGACTACAGATTCAATTTCAGGCGATATGACAAGACTACAGATTCAATTTCATTTAAAATGTAAAACGTAAATACTTGTATTTTGAATTATATTGTACTAAAAATAAACTGCTCGTTATTTTGTACTGGAAATGCATGTTGTAGGTCATAATCTGTTCACTACAAGATTTTGGAGATTATGATGTCATATGATTACCATAATTAATTTCATGTTAAATTTAGATTGTGTGAAATAGAGTGGACCATAGATTTGTTTGTACTTCTAGATAATTGGACTGTTCCCGATCTGCAATAACCTTATATTTTTTACTACGTTAACAATTTTTCCTTTATGATATCGAAAAAATAGTTAAAATTAGGTTTACGGGAACAGCCTTATTATTATTAATATTCCACAAGAACAAATGTTGTTTCTCCCGTAATATATAAAAATTAAATGCAATACCACTTGTCAAGGTGAGATTTAATTTAAAAAATTTCCACTAAAAACACAAAGTAAAACAAACAAATGGACGCACACTCGCACCTGTCAAAGACAAAGTATTAGACTAATGATAACATTCCCGAAGAATAAATTAGAAGTGAAAATAAGTTATAAAAACACACATGATTATCGGACAATTTAATTCTATGCTGTAGACCTGAGATGGGAAACCAATGCTTCCGCTTGCATAGTACTATTTTTATCAAAATTGTACCGAATTTGTACGCAACATGATAATAATAATTTTAATGTAAATATTTAAATTCTGATCAATATGAGGAAATTATTGAAAATTATAAATCGTATCGTATAGTCAACAAAAAATAAAAAAAAAATCCCTAATCATTTTCTTCTACTTTCATATATAGTTAAATTGTACTTTTTAAGTACCATATACAAATATATGTTGCCATCTTTGTTTCATTTAGGGATTCATAGGCCTACTGATGCAACAATTGATTTTTGTATTATTTAAAGTACGGTATATATCATGGTATAATAATAGAAGGTAACAGCAAGTGTTGTTGTACAACAAACGATACAACAACCACATGGAAATTTATTGCTGTAAAGGGCTAAGCAGAATGCTCCCGTTGAGCCACCCGTTGCGTTATGTGTTATCGAAAATACAACAACCACAAGGAAACGATAACACAAACGCTCGAAGTTGATGTGCGCTGCGCTTCGGAGTTAAATATATTTTAACTTTTTGCGTACGTTAACGCGATAACAAAAAACGCTCAACGCGAACATTCTGTTTAGCCCTTAAGTTATACTAGAGATTTGGCCAACAATGAGCCTAAATGTGTTGCTATGGAGCAGGCTACAATTAGCAGATCAAATCGATTCAAAATTTTATGTGTGAAATTATACAATTTGCATTTTATGGGATATATGTTTACTACAAGTATTTTCTAGGACATGTGAATTATATATTAAAAAATGAATTGTTTATGTACGGTACCTCCACTGTAAAACTGTTCTCTACATTCTAAAATACTCTCCAATAAGATTACTTTTTTCAAAAGCTTTTGATGTTACTAGCAACATGTTGCCAATCTCTCAAACTCTTCTCAGATCCGTTTTGGTCGTCATCCATATTGTTTTTTGTTATTATCTGCCGCAAGTCGATCTAGTTACCCCTAATATCCGAAACAAAACAAATCAATTGGATACCATTATCATATCCATAATTCAATAAGTTCTAAAGGTATAATTTTTTCTGCTTAAAAACAAATAAGAAAGTTTACAATTAGATAAACATATTTAACGTTTTAAGAAAAAAGTAATAAAGTAGCAAGATATTTAAGCATCAATTCCATTGAGCCGACATTGGTGAAGAAAATCAAAACATAAACAACAATAAATCAGCTGTTACTTTTTGAGAGGGGATTTGGGGATAGGAATATTTCATCAAAACAACACAAAAATAATTCAATTCCAACGCTAGGAAGATCCTGCGCAGTACTTATCACAAACAACAAAGTAATGTGGATTTTAAATTTGAATGGAAAAGTCAGTGTGGGCCAGTGACATACACACTTGTTACAATCCCCACACAGTGTGGAGCCTGTTTTTGCTAAACTATGAAAGAAATGCGCAAAATGTTAGAATCCGTTGTGAATAGAAAGTGGAAGAAAATTTGTTAAATTTTCCTTAAATTCCACAAGTCACATTGTCCGGACACATACACAAACAACTATATACTCACTCAGCATAGGAACAAGAGCGAACAATATACGAAAGGATACGATTGCACTTGTCCAGCACTCAGAACTGCGTTGCTCGTCTTTGAAAACGGTCTGCGGTTACGGTTCTAAGGAGTGAACAAAGTTTAATAATTACTTTTATTAAAACTAATATAAATTAATAAAAAATATAGAAGAAAGAATTGAAACAGAAAAGGAATTCATTTGAAGCATTCATAGAGAAACTCGTGACATACTCAATGAAAGTGTAAATAATCCAAGAAAAACGCAAGAAGGATAATACAATTAACAAATCAACACCAATATTAAAAAAATAACGTGTTTGACTTTTTTAAGTCAATAAATCCATTTGGATTACGGGCCTCCTGTTCATACAGGGTAAGTAATGGCATGAATTTTGCGTTTAGTTATTTTAATGAAGAATCAAACTATTTTGAAATATCTATTGAAAAGTCAATTGTGAAAAATTTTTCTTCTTACCTTGGTGAAAAATCGATTTTCCTTCTCCTTTCTCGTACTGTTGCTACATATTCCACATTCCAATTAGAAAATTTGTTCTCTTTTTCTTTGTTTTTTTTTCTTGTGTTGGTGGATTGTGTTTCAGTGGAAGGTATTTTCCGGTAATCCAAACATTTCAAAGGACACAATTTATTGTTTTTCTTTTTTCTAAATACAATATATTTTTTTTAATTTTTGACAAATTTTTCGTGGCTGGCTTTTATTTGTTTGTGTATATGTTTGAAGTCGTCATCGTTATTTTGTGCGGACAGCATCATTTTTAAGCGTTAATCAAAATGATACCGACAGAACACAGTGTCATCAGGAAATGACTAATGCTTATTTACAGACATCATTTTTGTTTTTTGTTTAATCTCGGTTTGAGTTTAAAGATTGCTATGACTTGTTTTGGAAGATATTTTCTCGTGTAAAATCGTTAAGAAAATGTATTGCTAAAATACGTCGACAGTCAAATGTGGACCGGCATCACGTAATTCGATTAATATCATGCGAGAATAATTAAAACTTAATGCTGAAAATCAATATTATTTTCAAATTGTATTTGGTGAAAATGGTGAATCTATCACGGGGCTATGCTAAAATATAGATCCATTAAGTCCATATTCTGTGTTACAATCATTCGGGGCATTCGGCACTGGCGTTTTCTCTCTCATTGTACATCTCTAGCTTTGATCCATAGGTATCGAATATCAAAATAAATAACTGTCACAAAGTTTGAAATCTCTAGCTAATAAGCTTATTTAGATGCATGGGTTTTTGTATTTTTACATATGTTGTTGTAATATTCCATACCATTTCGTAAGTATTTCGTGTATAAAACTTTTCAAATTTTAAGGCATTATTATTAAAATGTCGTTAAGTACATGCATATTCTTATAAAAAAAAAATTAAAATAATTTTTTAGAAGATTGATAGAACAAAATAAAAAAACTATAGAAAGTACCTTCGGCATTTTGAAGTGGGACACATTCGGCCACATACAGATAGTGCGATATTATTTCCTTAAAATTTTTTTGACTTTGTCTCTAAAAATTATACGTATACATATATAAGACCAAACGTGCTTGTATTGTCGAAAATGCGATACTATTTCTGATGGTGTGTGTGGCCTTGATACGTCAATGTCCGGCGCTAGAAAATATAGCCTTAAAAGTCAAACATTGAGTCGCATATTAAAATAAAATGGAATCTTTAGAGGATCTGAGTTTCAACCAGACTGATAGCGGTGATAATTACCATGCTATTACTATGTTGCCGTATGTGCCCGGTCAAATGCTGAAGCTAACCCCCGTAGAGGCACATTCGGAGAATTTGACTTCTTTTTACAAAACTGTACAAGTTTTTAACTAATACTAATTTATTATATGTTTTTGGTACTAGTTTTTATAATTAAGTAGCAGAGGAAAATAACCAGTTTATATAACCAGTTTAATATGTCTTTGTGCCTATGTTTGTAACAGGCAAAAGAAACGAGATAGACAAATAGTTCGGTTTTTGCATGTCCATCCATCCGTCTATTGGTATTAAATTGTAAACCAAGTACAGGTCGCATTTATAATCCAAATTGGATGAAATTTGTCACAGCTCATTAATTTGGCCCAAGGACGAACTCTATTGAAATTGAGAAAAATCGGTTCAGTTTTAGATATAGCTCCCATATATATGTTCGTCCGATTTTATGTTAATGGTGCACCAAAGTCCCTATATATATTTCGATTTACTTTTTGTTATTTGAATTTTGCCATGCAAGGGCAGTGATCATTTGAAAGTAATTTTAAGTGGTTATTTATACTCTTTCGAGTCGAGCTTGATGATCTAAGTTTTGCAATGAAAAGGAAAGCCAGGAGAAGAACCTACGTACCCACCATTATGCGACGCGTTTCGCCGTTGGTTAAGCGGTTCATCAGGCATATTGGGCTATGTGGCTTTACAAATGTCGTACGTTGATAACTTGTATTTATTCCGCCCTGATGCGAAACTTGCATATGCGAATTAAATTCAAATTTGTCAAAGTTCGACATTAGTCTTCATTCTAGGAACAGTCCTTTTCAAAGCAGATTTTTGTTGTAGCGATTGCTAATTAATCCACACACCTACAA